TTTCCCCCAAATAATTCTCACTCTCCCTTTTGCCTCTACTTTTTTCAAACATATCACCCCTCTTCCTATATTCACAAAACATCTTTTTCCTTCTTGCTTTTTACATATTTTTATGATTGACGCCATTTCTCTTTTCTTGATGTTTCTTTCCAAATGCCTTTCTTCTCTACTCACATAGCATCTTTTTCTCTCTCTATCTCTTTTTATTCTTTCCCAAATGATTCTCTCTCTGTTTCTGTCTTTGACCTTCTCTCTCATCTATCTTTTTCCGTCTCCCTCTTTTTTCAGTGCCTTCCTTTTTAATATTGTATCCATCTTCCTTTAAATTGCTTTCTCGTTTAACATTTAACATAATTATTGGGATTTTAGCCACAAGGGCAGGCTTATTACCTATATTGTACTTACATAAGTTCCTCCAATATATCTAAATTGATAGTCGTCCTAATGAATACGATCCTGATCATCGCCAATAATCAATGCATCAAAAAAATCGATTTATTCATTATCAACAGCATAGAAATCACGCTTTTTTTTACAGCAATAACACGGGGAATATTTTGTTAGACGAAGTATGTTCCAAAAATAATGCAGCCTATTTACTCTGGTAAAGCAATAGAAGATACAGGAATAATAATATCACTTTTGATCAGAGCATGTTTTCTGCTACAAAAAGTTGTTTTCTTCTCCTCCAGCCACCTTTTTTTTTTAAATATAGACTTTAATTTTTCAGAGAAACCAATAACCTATAAATGAAAATAGAAGGAGTTGTGGCAAGAAAAAGGCAACTATAGGTTTCCTCCGAAATTCTTCAAGAATCTAAAATATTTCATTTTGCCTGAAGTTGCGCCCTTAACAGTCCACGTTAAAAAAATCTTAGGCAGGTTAAATACAAGCAAGACGACCATGTTACCATCTGCCAGATAAAGATAAATGGGGTCCGAGAAGAAAGAAGAAGATACACTTCCCACATATTTAAATTGTTGTAGTTTCCATGATTTGGGTATTTTCCAATTGTAATTTGCATCTTGTGTTCATAGCAATAATTAATTTCAAATAATTAAAGTACCCTCTATGTATTTAAATATATATATATATATATATATATATATATATATATATATATATATATATATATATATGTATAAAGGTGGTTATTTTGACGATTGCATATAGCATGAAACAGACTGTCGCCTCTAAGTGTTGACTTTATGTTCACTTATATATATATATATATATATATATATATATATATATATATATATATATATATATATATATATATTTCGATTATAGGTGCAGTTCAATTTATAATTACATGCATCATTCATACAAAAAAAACAAATATAGAGGTTAATGATTTAAATGGCGAGAATACATCATCGCAAACAATTTCAATAAAGTACACTAACCCCGAACCTGTATATGAATGATATGATCCCTGTTTATAAATATGTATACGTCTGTCGTTTTCAAAAAATGTCTAAGCGTGAAACAGAAGTTGCTAAATAAAACAAAGGTCCGACTGTTTTGCTGTATCACAGCTCATCAGTGTGGCTAGACGTCCAGTTACCTCTAGCTAGGATATACAGGGTGACCCAAAACAACGGGAATTTTTGAAGTGCGTATTGCCAGACATGAACAAGTGCCAACACTGGGAGACATATTATAAACATAATGCATAGAATATTGCTGCTACATACGGTTCAGTGCTTCTGTTATTTTCCTTAAGCTCCTTGGTAAAATCCTCAGATGCATCAGCAATATTATCGGTCCTGATCTGGCGTCTCGGCTTCAGTCAATTTCCCACCACCGTTAGGTTCTTCGCTATAGTAACTAGAGTATTTTTTTTTTAATTTAATCGAAGTACTTGACTGGCAACTAGGTCTCATCAATTTACAGTTGAGCTGGCTAGATGTAGCCGTAAGTTCTATGCTAACAGTTTCTTTTCTCGCACTTCTCGCTTGTGGAAGTCCATTCCAGCTCCATTCTTTCCAGCCAAAATTTCTTGCAAAAATTTAAATGCAATGTCAATCGCTATCTCCTGTCCTGATTATTCTTCTTTTGTTCTCGCCCCCTTAGTAATGTTTGTATATCTAGCCCTTCCACACCCTGTAACCCTTTGTGTCTTAGTAGCTTTACTGCCTTGCTTGGGGCGTACTCGATAAGAAAAAAAAAAAAAATCTCATCTCAAACCTGTTCTCAAATACGTGTCGCAGCTTCTTTATATACTGGAAAATATCGTTAGGTTCGGAAGATAATCACCGATTTTCGAATAAACATTTTGTGTTCGAATGTACTATTATAATAATCGTACAAATAAATCGTACAGTGTAACCCGGATATAAGAGAGTTGTTGGGACCGGAGAAGAAGTCTCTTATATCCGGGTTTCTCTTATATACGCGTTTGGTCTATATGTATACATTAACACAGGCTCTAATTTGGGACCAGAGAAAATCCCTCTTATATCCGTGTTTCCCTTATATCCAGGTTTCTCTTATATCCGCGTTTGGTCTATATGTATACATTAACACAGTTTCTAATTTGGGACCAGAGAAAATCCCTCTTATATCCGTGTTTCTCTTATATCCGGGTTTCTCTTATATCCGCGTTTGGTCTATATGTATACATTAACACAGGCTCTAATTTGGGACCAGATAAAATCTCTCTTATATCCGTGTTTCTCTTATATCCGGGTCTCTTATATCCGCGTTTGGTCTATATGTATACATTAACACAGGCTCTAATTTGGGACCAGAGAAAATCTCTCTTATATCCGTGTTTCTCTTATATCCGGGTTTCTCTTATATCCGCGTTTGGTCTATATGTATACATTAACACAGGCTCTAATTTGGGACCAGAGAAAATCTCTCTTATATCCGTGTTTCTCTTATATCCGGGTTTCTCTTATATCCGCGTTTGGTCTATATGTATACATTAACACAGGCTCTAATTTGGGACCAGAGAAAATCCCTCTTATATCCGTGTTTCTCTTATATCCGGGTCTCTTATATCCGCGTTTGGTCTATATGTATACATTAACACAGTCTCTAATTTGGGACCAGAGAAAATCCCTCTTATATCCGTGTTTCTCTTATATCCGGGTCTCTTATATCCGCGTTTGGTCTATATGTATACATTAACACAGGTTTCTAATTTGGGACCAGAGAAATCCCTCTTATATCCGTGTTTCTCTTATATCCGGGTCTCTTATATCCGCGTTTGGTCTATATGTATACATTAACACAGGCTCTAATTTGGGACCAGAGAAAATCCCTCTTATATCCGTGTTTCTCTTATATCCGGGTTTCTCTTATATCCGCGTTTGGTCTATATGTATACATTAACACAGTCTCTTATTTGGGACCAGAGAAAATCCCTCTTATATCCGTGTTTCTCTTATATCCGGGTTTCTCTTATATCCGCGTTTGGTTTATATGTATACATTAACACAGGCTCTAATTTGGGACCAGAGAAAATCCCTCTTATATCCGTGTTTCCCTTATATCCAGGTTTCTCTTATATCCGCGTTTGGTCTATATGTATACATTAACACAGGCTCTAATTTGGGACCAGAGAAAATCCCTCTTATATCCGTGTTTCTCTTATATCCGGGTCTCTTATATGCGGGTTACACTGTATTACCCATTACTAACGTATGCTCTTTGTTAATATCAATCGTTTTCAGAGTTTAACTTAAATCATTCCATACCTCTCATGTTGAACATGGAAAGAAGAGATCTACTTAACTTTATGTAATGGAAAAATCATTGAAAATCATAAATATTCACAATTTTATTCACAGATATTTTATTTCCTTGCTTTTTCTTTTCTGATCTCCTTCGCCACAATTTTATTCTTACGATCCATCGGCAGTGCTTTCTTCGTTCGGTTGAATATTGTTTTTAGTATTTATCGGCCATCATTGATTTCTTTGTCGAGTTCAGATTCAATGTTCACCGTTTATTTAGTTTTTTTTTTTATATGCGATTTTTCATCTTTCGGTTTTCATCGCTATTTTTTTTTTTTTTTTTGTAGTTTCCGTAATTTTTCTTTTACTTCCAATTACTTTTTTGACATCTTTCACCATTTCTTGAGACTTTTGCTTCATTTGTTCTTCCTTACTGTTCGCCTTGTTAGAAATGGCTTTATTCAATGCTTTTCTTGTACTCTTCCATTTCCATTCCAAATTATTTTTCTTCGTCTTCTACCTCCCCCTTTTTGTAACTAAATATTCCATCAATACTAAACAGAAGCGCCTTGAAGTTTTATTGAGTGAGGTTTTTCTATGGACGTAAGGAAGCAGTGAGTGTAGATTATGAGTATAGGCAAGACAAGAAACGGTTGATCTTGTAATTGAAAGGGTTGGCATTGTACTGATCGGGGAAGCATCCTTTCAGGCGTGTACTCCACAATGTAGCGGTTTCCAGATGACGCTGTGGGAGTGGAATTTACAAGGATAGGTAGATATATATATATATATATATATATATATATATATATATATATATATATATTTTTTTTTCTCATTTAATTTTCCACGTTTTGTTTATATATCTTCCTTCCATTCTTCCTTTGCTTGTGTTATTTTTTTTCCTCCAAGATTTTCATTTGTTTTGGTGGGGCGTTAATTTCATTTCTTTTTCATATGAACCTTTCCCTTCGAGATGCACTTAAATTATTTCCCCTTCTATACGACAATCTCTCTTTGCCCGAATCAATTCCACATTTTCCACGGATTCCCGCGCTTTTTCTGTTTTTTTCCCGCGCTTTCGGATTATTCCTACTTTTTCTGATTTTTCCCGCATTTTCTGATTTCTCCCGCTTTTTCTGATTTCTCCCGCCTTTTCTGATTTTTCCCGCTTTTTCGTTCACTGTCGTTTCTTTATAGACTTTCCGTTTTTCATTCTTTTTCTTTTTTCTTTTCTCGATTCTTCTCCGTTAATCTCGATAGGTCGTTGGCTCAATTTCTTTTTTAAGGAGGGGGTGGTATTTCCCATTTTTCCTTCTTTCCTGTTGCCACGGTTTGGAAGAACGACACGATTCGCTTTGAGAAAAATCAAGCAAAAGTGAGTAGAGAAAATGAACGCTAAACGCATGAAAAAGAAAGCCAAACGAGAAAATGCCGAGACAGACAACACTTTGAGGTAATTGAAATAAATGCCTATTTTAAATGCCAT